GATTCTGTATATTCATGGCGATCAAGTTTTCAGTACTAATTTTGTTCGGCTTTTCAGTTGCTTTATGTTATGTACTATTTTGCATATGAGCAATGGCTGTTAGGGTTTTTCATTTTAGAATCCTATTAAGTTGTGAGGTCTCTGTAAGCATTTTGGTAATAATTCAGTTGTTGAAGGTAGTAAGTAGAAAGTTCGTATACTTCGGGTTGGAATGTCAAAGGAGTTATGTATGTGGTATGCATGATTGGGGTTTTTCTTGAGCAGCAACGCAGCAGAGACCGTGTGTGGGTTGTAGAACCAGAGGAGGCTCCGCTGCTTGAGGCGCATTCTTATATTTTTATTCTTGTCGTACATGTGTCTAATTGCCTAATATAATGTGCATCATTCTCAAATATGTCTGTCGGTTATTTTCTTCCTCAATGTACATTTCGTAATGAGGAAAAACTGATAAGACCCTAAAAGAGTTTGGAAATCGATTTGGGAGCAGGACTAAGAATGCAGAAAATTAGTTTTTTTTTTTATTTTTTATTTTTTTATTTGAACTGTTATGTGGGGAAGAATAACAATCCCTCCACCCCTCAGACAAACCTAATATCGTCTACCTTTTGAGAGAGTGCAAAGACACAAAAAATGCCTTGGATTTTTCTTGTAATTCCAGGGGCTTACTGACCCCCTTGGGATTTCGTCCTTTTTCTTCATGGTATATTGGTATGCCTTATCTTCACATTTTAATGTCTTTGTATTTTTCGTGTCTATTGAATATTGATGTTTTACAATTAGAATGCGGGTAGAGGATTTGATATTTATAGTTTTGTTGGTTATATGTATTGTTTTATTCAATTGAAGTTATTATTAAAAATTAACTTGCCACAGTCACATTCTTTTGTGCGTAAGTGCATATTGGATTTATGTTATATATCTGTAAGCAGAGTATGTTATTGTTGTAATCTTTTAATTATGGAATCCTTTTGGACTTTATTCTTGTAGTACTATATCTTTTGTGATTGTCCATATGCAAATTGCTTAATTCAGAGATAAATTAAGAACATAGGTATTATTTTAGGGTAGGTTGTCTATTCCCCTGGAGAGTTTGATATGACAAACATAATGTTTAGTTCTATGTATTGATTTTTCTTCAAAAGAATGAATATATATATATGCATGTGTGTGTGTGTGTGTGTTATCTTGGGGTGATAAAGTTCCACAAATGCCGTTCTTTGTTTTCTCAATTAATTTCCTTTAAATGTCTAGGAAACAAATCTTATGAAGCAAATTTTGTTTGTACATTCATCTTCTGTCACTTGTTCATTCTGTTCCTAATTTCTCTTTATGTTCAGGTTTTATGATAATGGTGTATTTTTTTGAGACTTATCTTGATTTGAGGCAACATGCTGCTCTTAAGTTGCCAACTCTTCCCAAACCGTTGGTTGGAGTTATCAGTCAAGAAAAATTTGAAAAATCCCGTGCTTATAGTCTTGAAAAAAGGTTTGTGCATTTTTCTTATCAAGCGAAACATAGCACACAGTTGCACATCCAGTTTCCTCCATTCCTGACCAGCTGTGTTACGGTTGTTGTCCTTTGTTGTGTCAGCCATTTCCATTTTGTGCACGAATTTGTAACCATAATTGTGGAATCTGCAATTTTGTACTTTGGGATATTGCCCTGGTTTTGGAAGGTGAGTCTCTTCATAAGACCTTCTTAGTGTTTTCTGACTTTCTTGTGGCTTGATAATTCTTGTTATTTTCTTCAAATACAGAAATCTGAAGAGCTTTTGGTGTTTGCTGCCCTCAATCCAGAAAATGAGATATTGCACACTCTTGTATTTTTAGCTGGTTTTATGTTTTGGTCACAGGTGAAAAAATGAGCTCCGTTTGTTTCATGTTCTTTTTAAGTATTGTTCTTTTTAAGTATTTTCTTAAGTTTTATATGTTTATTAATATCATTGTAAAATGTCAGTACATGTCTTGACCTTTGCTTGCCTCTTGAGCTTTTTTCTGACTATGTGTGGTTTGGAAACCCTGTGCAGTTAACTGATTTGCCATTTTCTTTATACTCTACTTTTGTCATCGAGGAACGCCATGGGTTCAACAAGGTAGTTTCATCATTTGGTCATATTGCACACTTAATAACAACTTTCACGTTTTTAACTCGATCGTTGTATGAAATCTTACCCCACTCACACTCGCTGGTGATAAGCGTTCCTTTGTTTTTGCAGCAAACAGTATGGTTATTCTTCAGGGATATGATCAAAGGAATTCTTTTATCTGTTGTCATTGGTCCACCTATTGTAGCTGCTATCATAATAATTGTGCAGGTATTTTGTCAGTAAGAATATACGGGATATCAATGAAACCTTATGAATTTGAAGTGACATTACCATTCTAATTCCATTTTCCTGAATTTAATTGAAATTTAAATCTCTCTCTCTCTCTCTCTCTCTCTCTCTCTCTTTCTATATATATATATATATATTTACAAAGGTAAAATTGATAGTGTAGTGAACTGTATCGTGATTTTCGAGAAGTGTTTGAATGCAGAAAGGAGGTCCGTATTTGGCAATATATCTTTGGGCATTTATGCTTATCGTGTCTCTCGTGATGATGACTATTTACCCAGTTCTCATTGCCCCACTTTTCAACAAGTTTACTCCTGTAAGTAGTAGGATTTTTATAAATGATTTGAATTATACTATGAAATAGTATTGCTTTTGAAAGTGGTTATATTCTAAATGGAACTCGATGTGTTAGTTATATGTTTATTTATTTTACCGAGCAGCTTCCAGAGGGAGATCTTAGGACCAAAATTGAGAATCTTGCTTCATCTCTTAAATTTCCATTGAAAAAGTTGTTTGTTGTTGATGGATCAACAAGATCGGGCCACAGCAATGTGAGTGTGCTTTCCTTTTCTGTATTCGTGCATTTTCTATAACCGTGTAAGTTACTTCTTCTATTCTTTGTTGTCCTACATTTTAGTCTCATTTTATGGCCTATGCTGCAGGCTTACATGTATGGATTTTTCAAGAACAAGCGAATTGTGCTTTATGACACATTAATTCAACAGGTATGGAGCATTATGCTTTGTTTTGTCTCAATAAACTTAGAAGCGCTTGATGTAGACTTATATTCATTTATACTTTATGGCATTTGTACATTGGTAAGTCCTCTGAGTTGGGTATATATATTCATCTCTTCTGTGAATTTCTTTTTCTGTTGTGCAAGTTAGTTGGGCCAGATTCTTAAAAGCTCATACGGTTTTGTTATACGTGCTAGAATGCAAATAAAAGTTCTGATGGCGTTAACAGCCAATTGAAGAAATGTTTATAATTACAGCATAATAAAATCTGGAATAACAGCTGATGAAATAACTCCACTCTCAGACCGTAGGAACTGCTAAAACAAAGGCTAATATGTAATAACTTTTACAACTCACCTTATCAATTTGATGTCGAATTTATGTATCTATTGCAATCGTAAGCAAATCAGATTTTAAGATATAAAATTCCTATGATTTTGGAGCCTAGGATCTCTAATCTATTCTCTTTTATTTCTCGCTGGTAGCACAAGATCTTCCTGATCATTTTTTCTCCTCACATACTCCATCATTGATTTTTTTCCTTATTTTGTCTATCAAGTTTCTCGCTGTTGCTTTTTCTTCTTATTGGTAGCAATTTTTATTTATTTATTTACTTTCATTTTATTTTTTTTGAATTTTTTTAAAGCTTACTACTTCTTTAAAATTATTCTTCTCTTGTGTAATAATTTACTTGTTTGAAAATTAAATGTAGTGTAAGAATGAGGAAGAGGTTGTAGCTGTTATTGCCCATGAACTGGGTCACTGGAAGCTCAATCATACTATGTACTCTTTCGTTGCAGTTCAGGTACATCAGCAGTAACAAAATCATATTATGTTTTCAGCTCTTTTATGATCATATTTTTTTCTTGTCTTATGATGGGGAATTGCATTTTATTTCTGTAATGTCAGTTTTATTGAGTAATTTTCAATTCAGAAGACATGTCATATTAAATATGAAGTTTCTCTCCAATTATTATGATATACATTGGTGATATTGAATGCCAGCTCCATTATCAGTTGATTAATTTATTTATTGAGTCAATGATTTGAAGTTTGACTAGGTTAGTGTTTCATTTTCACTGCTTTCTTCCTACTTTATCCTTAATTTATGGACTGAAGACTGCATCATATAAAAAATGTGAGTCTCCTCCACAGAATTATCTTACCTTGTTATTTTTTGTGTCTGCTCATTTAGTTCCTCTTTTGGTGTGCGTTCTTGGTTTTCATTGTATTGGTTGTCCTCTTCAAAAAATTCTGGTTATGCTGGTTGCTGGACATCCAGATATCGATATCCATGCCTTTTTTGGATTAGTGAAAATTTTAATCTGCTTGAAATTATCTGGGTCAGACTTAATTTGCTTTGTTTATTCTGTTTTACATTAACCTGAATCAATGTTACTTTGCCCAGTCTACTTTTAACTGCGCCCAAGTTGGATTGAAGGTTTTGAGGCTGTTTCATGTTAGGTTTGCAATTTTGTTCTTTTCTCTGTGCTGTTCGTGTGATACATTTGTTATCTGTACATGAAAAAGAGTATTCACGAACTAATTGTTGGCATGTTTCAGTTTTCGTTGTTTAAGGAATTTCTATTCTGTAACAATTATAATTAATGCTTGCCCATTGTTATTATACTGGGATATAAAGTGACTAGCTGTTGTATATATACTATACTATGGTCATAGTAACAGGTCTTAGTGTTTTTTCAATCTTAACCAGTGATTTAATTGGCTACGCAGATCCTGACACTGTTGCAGTTTGGAGGATACACTCTGGTTAGAAACTCTAAAGACCTGTTCCAGAGTTTTGGGTTTGACACGCAGCCAGTCCTTATTGGACTTATCTTATTTCAGGTATTAAGATGAACTTGAGTGGTTTATCTATCCTCATATAGAACAGTCACAGCTGGTGCTCTAGTGTGTGGCACGTATTGCACGTGTTAGCGTCTGTTCGTACGTTTGATTGCTTAATCTTTCAAGTTCGAAGGTCTTATGATAATGTTGTCTTGATGGGTGGTATCTGCAGTTATATGTTGGTCATTCATTACTGAAGTAAAAGACGTATTGCAAAACCCTTCTCAAGTCTCTTTTTGGATGATTATCGAGTTTTTACTCTTAGAACGGTGAAATTATTACTTTGTCAAATCAAAACCAACACTATTTCCTGCTGTACTTTTTATGCTTGATTGCAAACGTAGGATTTTATTTGAAAGTCAATTCGCTTGCTCGGTCCTATATGCCTGTTAATCCGGTTCTTGGTGATTGGCAGCATACTGTTATGCCTCTTCAGCATATCGTGAGCTTCTTACTTAATCTCGTTAGCAGGGCATTTGAGTTCCAGGTAGCCTCTCATTTTTATGCCTCTAAGTTGATCTCGACCGTACAGCTCAAGCTTCTTTTACCAAATTGGAACCATTTTTCTTGTTTTGAACCTTAGTATCTTGTTTACTTCACATAGGCTGATGCTTTTGCCAAGAAGCTCGGTTATGCGGTACCTCTTCGGGCTGGGTTGATCAAGCTGCAGGTATATTGTATTCTAATTTCCATAATATATTAATATGTTTTAAATAATTCGGGTCTATCCATAAAATCTATTGATTACCCGTAGAAATAGTGTGCTCTCATTCACGAATAGAAATGGTTGATGGTATAAGTTTCCTAGTATTGACTATAAAATAAAATGTTTTCCATGAGGGTCTTGAGCATCAGTATTCTTGAGTCTTTGGGTATTAACAAAAGTAGGTATAATTAATATTATTTTATTTTTTTTCTTGTCGATCCAAAAGCTTCACTTGGAGATCTTACAATTTTATTTTATTTATTTATTTTTTGTTCAACAGGAAGAAAATCTATCAGCTATGAACACTGACCATTTGTACTCCGCGTACCACTATTCACATCCTCCCCTGGTCGAAAGACTAGCTGCCATTGACGAGCCAGACAAAAAGACCGACTAAACAGGAAAAACAAAACACGAGCTTTGGTGATACACTTTTTCGTATTAGTCTTTGCTAAAAGTCAAATGAACCTTGACTGCCTTGATCGTGCTTCAGAAGAGTTCGATTTATCTCGTTTTCGGGTGTTACATGTGTTGGGGTGCAGTTTTTGGTAAATTCATAATTCTGTTATCTGATCATTAGCCTCAAATTTTATACTCGTGGGATCTCTAAAATGAATCAAATGAGCACTTCTTTTACCTTTCCTTTACCAACAAACTATTAAATTAAACTATCATTGAAGTTTAATACGTTGCAAGATTATTTTGAAAGCGAAATATTGAATATGTCAAATAAAAACAAGGGTCGGAAAGAAATATTGACGCACTGAACCTTTATTTATAATAAGATTAAAGTTTATCATTAACTTGTGCAATTAATGTCATAGACAAAGTGTTCACAAAGCCCTTCCACCTTTATTTTTGTGTCCACTATAATAACTCAATTTTGTATTTAAACCCATCTTAGGGGCTTTAACCTAAGTGGGATAGAAAAAAAAAAAAAAAAATAAAGACCAACTAAGTGGGACAAATGTGCGATTGGATATAAATTCAATGCCAATTTAACAAATTACATCCACTTCAAATCTACTATACAATTTTAATAATATTTTTACCTTTAAAATCCAAATCAAATATAAACTAATTTAATTCTCATCAATATTATCAATATAATTAAACAATATAAATCAATAATTCTCACATACCACATCCAGTGTTCTAAAAGTCGTTAGGCGCCCGTTAGGCGCTCGACCAGCGCCTAGAGCGCCTAGGCGGGCCCTAGGTGGGGCCTAGAAATCAATATTAAATACATTATTTTTTATTTATTTTAACTATCTACAAAATAAAATTATCTCGACTTATAATAAATCGACACACCTAAGTCCAAAATAATCAAATTAATATATTTTAAAGAAAACTTGAGAACAAAATGATGTAATTAACATTTAAAAAAATTAAAAAAACTAAAAAAAAAGAAAAATGAAAAATTGCCGCTGAGCCCGCCTAGGAGCGCCTAGGTCCGCCTAGGCGCCGCCTAACCGCCTGGCTGCTAAGCCCGCCAAGGCCGCCTAGGAGCGCCTAGGGCCGCCTAGGAGCGCCTAGGGCCGCCTAGGCGCCAGGCCGATTTTTTTTTCGATTTGTGCAAATCGGAGGCGCCTGAGCACCGCCTAGGCCGATTTTTAGAACAGTGACCACATCAATAAAATTTACTATTCACCTACTTAGAGCATACATTCCCTTAACATTCATTCAATCACGATTTACACTATCTCTCATCCACATAATCTCCACGTCATTTTTTCACTAAACATCTCTCCATTTAAACACACACCTATATTGGTTCATTCATTTAAATATAAATATATGGGACTCATTACCCACTCATTCAATATTATTTTTATATTTTATTCTTCATAAAAAATAAATTTTGTTTTTTAATTAGAATACTTAATTTAAAATTCGTAAAAATACAACAAAAATATTATTATATAAAAAAACTTAAATTAAAATTTCAAAATAAAAAGAGTAGAAAAAAAGAAAAATTGGTAATTAATCGAGTCCAAATATGCTCAACTAAGTTTGCACAAAGTTGGTAGCAAAAAAAGTTGTATTGCATTGTATCTCGGAATTTTTTACGAATATAATCTTGAAATCCTCGATCTTGATTTTTTTTTTAAAAAAAAATCTATTATCTTGAAATCGTGGTACATTTATAGGCGTAAAAAAATGTAAAATTAAAAAATTTAAATCATTGATTTACATTGAAAAGTGTGATTTGATAACAATTAAATTAAGTATATGATAAAAAAAATTGAATGATTTTAATAAATAAAAAATGCATTTAATGACATTTAAAACAAAAAAAAAAAAGAAAAAAAAAGTAGTTAATGCGTTCAAAGTAGTGAACGGGAGTGGGGGGGCCCACATTAAATGAATGGGCCACATCCAATTAACGCCTCTCTCTCCGTAAATGGCAGCAAAAAACACGCGATGCGGGTGCCCTTACATATTTATAACTATCAAATTCATACACTTATCTCTTACTTTTACAGCAAACAGATGCTATGCTATGAGATAGTTTCCCCATAGGGTTTTTAGGTTCAACTCGAAAGTCGAATAGAAAGTTAGACTGAATGGCTGGTTGGTGAACCAATAGGAAGGCCAGGGGCATAGTGTAGACCAGATTTCTTCTTTCCTTTTTTGATTAAGCATCGTACTGTAAAAATTGAATAGGTTCGATCTATAGTCATTTGATTATGGCCTCCTAAAACGATCTAACTAAAGGACTTTTTTTCGATTTTTTCAATAAAGCACTATGAGATCGAGTATGGAATTTTGTTTACTCACTTTAAATTGAGTATCCGTTTCCCTCCCTTTCGTGCTAGGATTGGAAATCCTGTATTTTACATATCTATATGATTGAGATTGAGTCCTTGGGTTTCCGAAATAGATACATCTATTCAATAAAATTCGAAATTTCTTTCGAATATACGAATTGTGCTACATATTCAAAACCACATTCGCATACAGTCACACACACATATATATATATATATATGAGTGTGTGTGAAATTTGTGGTTAAAAACCCCATGGAGGCACTACTCACATGGATAGCATGAATGCAATAACCTACTTTTGCATCACATAAATTTTACTCATTACATTTTTATCTCATCTCCAAACACAAACTCAAAATCCAAATTAAAAACTCCACATAATCACTTTTATGCAACTTTAATTTACTTTACTCAATAAATAAAAAAAAAAATTATGTCAGAAATCGCACCCTAAAATAGGTTATAATCTTTAACCAAAACCTCTTTAATAATTGACATGCCAAAAGAAATAACCAAACTTATCAAATTATGAGAAAGGGTAGATAAAATAAAGTCAATAATCGTAGAGTACATATAGGGCTGCAAACGAGCCGAGCCGAGTCGATCATTGATCTTATCGAGCACGATTGATTTTTCCTTTTAGCTACTCGAGCTCGAGCTCGATTTATGAGGCTCGAGCTCGCCTCGATAAGAAAATACAATAGATCGAGCTCGAACTCGGCTTAAAAATTTTAAGTAAAATTACCATTAAGCACTTGTTTTATACTATTTAAATATATTTAAGGAATATTTTAGTAATTTAATATATATATCGAGCCGCTCGACAATGCAAAATATGGGCTCGAGCTCAATTCGAGTTTGGTCAAACTCGAGCTCGAGTCGAGCTTTAACTCGTGAGCCGCTCGACTCGTTTTGCAGCCCGCAGCCCTAAGTACATCAAATTCAGCACTCTTTACCAAGCGAAGACTAATCCCTTTCGAAAATATAAATATACTCCCCGACAATGAAAAGCAACGAACGAGCATTACACAAATCGACTAATCTCCATTTATTAATGAATTTTAATAAAATAAATCAGCCACCCTTTACAAATCTTAATCTAGTGGTCCTTCTCCAAGTTAATGCTCTTACTTTATGCTTCTTTTTTTTTTTTTTTTTTNNNTTTTTTTTTTTTTTAAAAGAAAAAAATGAAGAAAATAGTCTAAAATGTAAAAAGTAAAAACACTAGTTAGTTAATTAATGCTCTTTAAAAGTCATTGTTCTTTTACGCTTATTTTGTGACTTTTATTTTTATTTTTTAAATAGTGAAAAAATATTTGAAAGGATATTAATAATTTTAATGAATAACGATTTAATATCGCAACTGAATAAAAGATAAAGACTAACATTAAAGTTATACAAGCCTAATTGTTAGACGATTATTATATTTATACCTTCAAATTACAGGTGTCAATACATTAAATGATTGATTACTTCATACGGTTTTAAGAAACCAATCGATGACTCCATAAGAAATTGTCCGATGACTCCACATATTTATTTTTAGAAAACCATCCCATGCCTCTTTTAAGTACACTAAGAGTGTGTTTGTAAAAATAATAATTTGAATGAATTAACTCAAAGTGAGTTTATTTAGTTAACTAAAGTTAATTTAGAAAAAAAAATGTATAATTAATTGTTAATGAAATTTTAAGTTTATATTAAAATAATATTTAAAATAAAATAATTAAAATTTGTTTGATGTTAAATTAGGAGAAAGATGATATGAAGTGATGGTTAGTTAAAATTATGTGAGTGGATGAACCGTGGATTAAAGTTGATATGATGTGTAAAAATAATTGATTGTTATTATTTAATAATTGATTGCTATTTAATTATATATTAATAATATTAGAATAGTGTAGTTAATTAAAATTGAGTTAGATTTTGAAAATAAATTAATATTAATTTGGTTTGATATTCTTGTTTTACAAACATAGCTCAAGAATTGGACAGCAAAAAATTACATCACTCACAGTTTAGTTTAGTACAGTACTGTACAGTACAGACCTTCTCCTCCTCCTCCTCCTCTCTCTCTCTCTCTCTCTCTCTCACAC